AATGGAGCAATCTCCACTCACCGCAACCTCCACCTCCCAGGTTCAAGCAATTCTCCTCCCTCAGCCTGCAGAGTAGCTAGGATTACAGGCATGTGCCACCACACCTGTCTAATTTTGTATTTTTAATAGAAACAGAGTTTCTCCATGTTGATCAGGCTGATCTCAAACTCCCGACCTCAGGTGATCCACCCACCTTGGCCTCCCAAAGTGCAGGGGTTACAGGCATGAGCCACCATGCTCAGCCCAGAAGTGCATTTTTAAAGTACATTTCCAGCTGGGCATGGTGGTTCAAGTCTGTAATTCCAGCACTTTGAGAGGATCACTTGAGCCTGGAACTCCAATTCAGCGTGGGCAACATGACAAGACCTCGTCTCTACACAAAATACAAAAATTAGCCGAACATGGTGACACTCAGCTGTTGTCCCAGCTATTCAGTAGACTGAGGTGGGAGGATCGCTCAGGCCCAGAAACTCAAGGCTTCCCTGAACAATGATTGTGCCACTGCACTGCAGCCTGGGTAATAGAACAAGACCCTGTCTCTAAAAATAAAAATCAGTGCATTTCTAATAAAATATGTTTTTTAAAAAATACCTTCAAGAATATCATAACACATATGCTATGTCAACCCTTTTCTTATTCTTCACATTGAGTGCAATCTCTCTCCTGCATCTAAGCTTGAGAATTCCCACGCAATAACCCTGGAATAATAGTCCTCAACTTGTGCGCCTGTTCTAATGTGTCCTTTGTGGGAACCAGGAGTACTGAGTTGAGGAGGATTCCCAGACCAAGTCCAGGCTTATTGAGGAAGAGTTCTGTTATTGATTAGTGATGCCTCTCATAGGTACAGGCTAGGTTTCTGACAGGACACATGCCAAGAATAGCCTAATGCAGCTTATATGATCCTCTTACTGTTTACCGTATTTCTTCTTTAAATCACTGCTTAAAGCTCTAACACTCAATGAAATTTTTATCTGGGGACTTCTCAACAAAGAAGTGTGGAACTTCTCAAGCTCAGTCATAGGACAGAGATCAAACTGAGTGTGAAGAATAACAAAAAACTAACACAACATATGTGTTGTGATATTCTTGAAGGTATTTTTAAATAAAATATACATGTTCTTTATCTCATCAACATAATTCTAAATATTAATTGCTCTATTAGAGATAGCTTACATTGTTGCTTTTAATTAAAATCTTATATCACTATTTATCTTTTCATGTTCCCCTTTTTTACTTTTTTATCCAAATATAAATTCATATTTGATTTTGCCTAAACAATTGAAATAGTCTCAGCTCTTTCCTCATCTCATCTTTCCACCCTTTCATCCTACACATGGTGATTTTCTAAAGTTTAGATTAGATCAGATTTATTGATCTGGTATAGCTATGAACCAGAGTCTATACAGATGCTATGATGATTCAGTCCCTACTCTCACCAATTCAGGCCCAGAGGAAAAGACCAACATGCAAATAGATGGTTACAATACACTGAAAAATTCCTACTACAATTTTCTTTCTTTCTTTTTTGACTTTGTTTTTGAGACACAGTCTTTATCTGTCACCCAGGCTGGAGTGCAGTGGCACAATCTCAGTTCACTGCAACCTTTGCCTTCCGGGTTCAAATAATTCTGCCTCAGCCTCCCTAGAAGCTGGAATTACAGAAGCGTCCCCAAGCCCAGCTATTTTTGCATTTTTATTATAGATGGGGTTTCACCATGTTGGCCAGGCTGGTCTTGAACTCCTGACCTCATGTGATCTATCTGCCTCAGCCTCCCAAAGTGCTGGGATTACAGGCATGAGCCACCCTCCCAAAGTGCTAGGATTACAGGCATGAGCCACTGCTCCCGGTCCTACAGTTTTCTTATGTGTGAAAGAAGAACAAGAATGGTACATGCTTCCTAGAGGATGCAGAGTTACAGCTTGTAAAGTGCTGGGCATATGGCTTGACACAGTAATCATACATACACACTAGCCATTAACATAATTACACTCAAGTGCCAAGTACAGTGTTACAAATTATCATTATTCTATCTTGCAGGATAGTGGATTTAAATCATTTTTCCAAGCCACCCAGTGAGTCAGGGAATTTTGAACAGAGCCAAAATTCTGAAGTCTGTTAGCCCAGATCTCCCACAAGGGAATACTATTTTCCAAATAAAATAAACTGAGTCCTTATAATTTTGTCATCTGTTTCAAATATGCTTTTGAGAATCTTTTCATGATAAATTTCAGCGGAAGATGATCCCCATCTTTTTCTCAATCATGAGGTTTACACCAAGGATGTCAATGACGTTATCCCCACATTCTGTTTAACTGTACTGGCCCCTGTAATTCTCGCCAGCCCTCACTGCACAGGTAAGTTCCTCCCAACACTCATACATATTTATTGACATTAAATAAAATCTCCTCTTCAACAAAATGAATTATGAATATTATATATCAAAAAATAATCGCTGCAATGAAAGGTCAGACTAGGAAATAAGACTTAAAACTTCTAGCACCCTGAGGATTTGAAAAATAAAATGACATTATGCTTTCCTGAATCCCAAAAATAGTCTCTCAAGTGTCCCAAAAGAAAGCCTGGAGAGCAAGGATAAGAATCAAAACCTATGGTACATTTCCAAACATGTCCAAAAAACATGTTCTCTCCCAGCTTCCAGGACAAATGCAAAACAGAGCTTTTATTTTTTTTTTCCTATCTCATAGTATGGCTTTTTAGATGTGTCCCAGAATATTTTTTTAATAGACAGTCTGCTCTTATAAACAGGAGTGTATACAATTCTTGCAGTGCAGTGGTACGGAAATAAGAAAATGCAAAGATCATATGCCCTGCCACATAGCAACGGGCATGATTCTGTGCCAGGAACTTAATAGTCTTGGACTTTGGTTTCTGAAGCTATAAACCTTAGAGATAAGAATATCTGGCTGGGCACAGTGGCTCATGCCTGTGATCCCAGCACTTTGGGAGGGCTAGGCAGCTGGATTGTCTTAGGTCAGGAGTTCAAGAACAGCCTGGCCAAAGTGGTGAAACCCTGTCTCTGCTAAAACTACAAACATTAGCTGAGTATGGTGGTGAACACCTGTGATCCCAGCTACTCAGGAGGCTGAGGCAGCAGAATCGCTGGAACCCGGGAGGCTGAGGTTGCAGTGAGCCGAGATCGCCCCACTGCACTCCAGCCTGGATGACATATCTATTCTTATCAATCTCAATAAATTGTTATTGAGAACAATAGCTAGCATTTGTGTAAAAATGTAAAAACTACGTTTTTCCTCACAAACAGTATTTTACTGAGTTACTATTACTGTTGAACTATCATTATTATTATTATTACGGTTATTACACTCTTCTGACAAGTGAGGAGGCTGAGGCTCAAAGGAGTTTTAAACATCAGAGAAAGTGGTAAATTGCAACTCAGCCCACATCTCCTAACTACACCTTTGCTTGGGTGGTAAATGCTTTGACTGCAGGGACTTCCTTGTAACATCAGAGTCTCTAGGCTGAGCATCAGCCCTGTGCACTGTAGCCACTCAGTAAGTAACTGATGAGCTGGGGAAAACCAAAATCCCATAGGGGGAGAGTGGTTCACCAAGAGTCAACCAGAAGAGACATTAAATTTTATAGGATATGAGGAAAGGCTTGCAGCAGAAAATATGTATACTACCTAAATTTAAAATGAAAAACCATACTGCAGGGTTATTTATCCTTCGAACACATTTAGGCCTTATATTTTAAGGCACATTTGATTGGGTGCAAGGGATAAAAACCTACTTGGTGAGGGAAAGAGACAAATCTTCCTTACAGAAGAATTCCACATAATATCTAGAGATACTTCCTTCTTCAAGAGGTAGAGCTTAATCCGCCTGCCCCTACTTTGATGGTGTGTGTGATGAGTAATTTTATGTGTCAACTGGGCCACTGGGTGCCCAGATATTTGCTCAAATATTGTTTTAGGTGTTTCTGTGAAATGTTTTTGGATGATATTAACAATAAATTGGTGACTGAGTAAAGCAGATTGTTTTCCCTAATGTGGGTGGGCCTCATTCAATCAGTTGAGGGCCTGAATAGAACTAAGAGCTGATCCTCCCTTGAGTAAGAGAGAACTCTTCCTGCCTGACTGCCTTTGAGCTGGGACTTTGGTTTTTTCCTGTCTTCAGACTCAAAATAAAATGTTGGCTCTTCCTGGGTCTTGAGCCTACCAGCCTTCAGACTGGAACTATACCGTGGGCTCTCCAGGTCTCCTGCTTGATGACTCACTCTGCAGATATTGGGACTCATCAGCCTCCAAAATTATGTGAGCCAATTACATAAAATAAATCTCTTTTACATAGATATACATACACATAAGTACATATACATATATGTGTATATATACATATATTTATATATGTGTATGTACATGTGTGTATATATATGTATGTGTATATACATATATATGTGTGTGTATATATATATACATATATATGTGTGTGTGTGTATATATATATATATATATGTTTTGTATGTATATACAAATCTATTGGTTTGGTTTCTCTGGAGAACCATGAATAATACATTGAAATGATGACTCACTTCCAAAGAATAGAGCAGGAAAAGAGAAAAATAGTAACACTGAATTAGAAAAATCTGACAAACACCATTTAATCCAAGTGATGAAGGTTAACCTCACCAGTGATGTCATGTGGATATCAGGTACCTCTGATGTGCTGTGATGTAATGAGGAGGGTACTTAGCTTCTATGGCATTCTTTTCTGTAACTTACAACCCACATCCAATCATGAGAGAAACTAGAGACAAACCTGGATTGGGGATATTCTACAAAATACTGTCAAGGTCATGTAAAACAAGAAAAGTCTGAGAGATCATCACTGACTAAAAGAGATTAAGGAGACATAGCAACTAAATATGCTGTCTGGAATGGCTCCTGAAACAGAAGGAAGACATTAGTAGGAACACTGGTTCCAAATAAAGGCTGGAATTGCATTAATAATAATGGAATGATATATTTGGGTTTCTCTTCAAATCGTATAAATCTTTTGCCTTTTACTAAAGATTTCGTGGAGAGGGAAAATTCTGAGTCTTAGTCCAATTTTTTGAGGCCCTGTTTCTGATGGGCTGATTTAAAAATAATGTAATAATAATAATGGAATGATGTTGGTTTCTCAGTTTTGACAAAAATCCCATGGAAATGTAGTATGTTAACAATGGAAAAATTAGATGAGAAATATACAGGAATTCTCTGTACTATTTTTGCAACTTTTCTGCAAAGCTAAAATTGTTTCAAAATTAAAAGTTTATTTTTTAAGACCGAATCAAATGTAATTCTCAAGTGTACTGAATAATGCATACATCCATAGAAAGAAATTACGTTCTGCTTTCACATGAGGCTTGGAGCTGGATAAACAAGCTCTGAATCTCCTCCTCCTCTGTTTCCCTCTCTGGACTCTCACTGATGCTCATCTCTGCTTTTTTCTGCACCATTGCCACATTTTTTTCTCTGAAGACTGACTTCCTTTGCCAAATTATTTACTTACATTTGCCCACAAGAGAAGCCTGCACGAGTCTCTGTCTTGTCTTGTGTTAACTCTAATTCCAGCTCTACATGACTTTGAATTTCCAGTTTCTTACACTATCGACCACACTTCTCTGCCTTTGGGTGTAAATTATTGAGGAAAGGGAGTAAGTTGTTCAGCCCAGTCAATGGCCTGGCTCCCCTTGAGTTTGATGACCATTCCTGTTTTAGCCAAGTGGAGTCTCTTGGTAGAAATATGACTCCATAGTCGCACCATAGTGTCTGATTTCTGAAGGCTGAGAAAAAGCAATAATTCTAAAGATACAGTCACCCCGGGGTGTGTCTGTCATGTTATCTCTGCTCCACAGCATCTACATCAGCACTGTAAACCCAAATTATTTTTAAACACTGATGATTCTTATAACAAATACTTGGGCCTGAATGAAGGAGAGAAAAAAGATCTTTTTTTATATTATCTCTGTCAAAAGGATTGGGGAAAAAGAATCTCTGATTGGGATAAATAGGTTGTTTGGAAGAAAAAAGTTTATGTTATTTGAATTACAAATGACAGATGCCATTTAAGATGAAAGAATAGAATCATAAAGCATTTTTTATTAACATACTAAAGAATTAATATATTTTAGTCCCTAACTCTGAGTTGTTCTCATTGTCAAGAGAACATATTAAGAGAAAGTGTACGTGATCATCCTTTAGCTTCTCCGATACCTAAAACGTGTGCAAGAATGCATATTGCAACATTATCTGCAATAAGAAAAGATTGAAAATAGCCTATTCATCAACTAACTGTTTAAATAAAGTTTGTTTTGTCTAAAATAAGAGTTTGTATTAGAGACTGTTAGAGAGCCCCCAAATATCCCATGTCTACTCCCACTTCTAAATCCTTTCATGTTAAAATCAAATGAAGGAAAGGAAAGGACAAAGGGAGGGAGGGAGGGAGGGAAGGAGGCAACAAACCAGGACTAATTTGGGGGAATTTCCTTAACATGATAAAGGGAATCAATGGAAAACTCACAGCTAACATCATATTTAATGTTGAAAGTTTAGAAACTTTAGCCCTAAAATTATGAACAATGAAGAAGAAAAGGATTTCTGCTCTTTCTACTTTTATTCAACATTACACTGAGGTTTTAACAAGGACAATTAGTCAGGAAAAGTAAATAAAGCCTGTCTAGATTGGTAAGAAGTATAACAATCTCTATTTGCAGATGACATAATCTTGTATATAGAAAATCCTAAGTAATGCATTAAAATACTTGGAATCTAATAAGCAAATCCAAAAATTTTACATAATACAAGATTAATATACAAAAACCAATGAATTTCTATGTAATATGAATAATCAGTTATAATGAAATTTAAAAACAATTCTATTTACAATTATGTCAAAATACTTAGGAATAAATTTAACAGCCAGGCGTTGTGGCTCACGCCTGTAATCCCAGCACTTTGGGAGGCCGAGGTGGGTGGATTGCTTGAGCCCAAGAGTTTGATACTCGCCTGGCCAACATGGCAAAACCCCATCTCTACTAAGAATACAAAAATGAGCCAGGTGTGATGGCACACACCTGTAATCCCAGCTACTCAGGAGGCTCAAACATAAGAATCACTTGAATCCGAGAGGCAGAGATTTCAGTGAGCTGATATCAGGCCACTACACTTCAGCCTAGGTGACAAAGTAAGACTGTCTCAAAATAAAATAAAACAAAATAAATTTAACAAAAGAAAATAAAACGTGTACACTGCAATCTACAAAACATGGTTGACAGACATTGAAGAAGACCTAAGTAAATGCAGACATTTGCATTTGAAGACTTAATATTGTTAGAATGATAATATATCCCAAATTGATCTACAAATTCAGTAGAATTTCTATCAAAATTTCAGCTGGCTTCTTTGTTGCATGTAACCAGCTGATCCTAAAATTCATATGGAAATGCCAAGGACACTGATTAACCTAACAACCTTGAAAAGGAAGGGCAAAACTGAAGAATTAATGCTTCCTATTCTCAAACTTACTACAAAGCTATAGTAATCAAGCAAGACCGTGTGGTGCTGGTGTAAGAATAGACATATAGACCAACGAAACAGAAGTTTACCAGAAGTAAACCCATATGTTTACAGACCATTAATTTTTGAAACGGGTGCCAAGACAATTCAACGGGGAAATTATAGTCTTCTCAACAAATGATCTGGAACAACTGGATATCCACAGATAGAAGACTGAAGTTGGACTCCCCTTTTGCATTATATTCAAAATCACTGAAAATGGATCAAAGACCTCAACAATTAGTTTAGCACTTTACAAGTCCTAAAACTAAAACTCCTAGAAGAAAACATACATGTAAATCATGTTTGTGACCTTGGATTAGGCAATGGTTTCTTAGGTATGATACCCAAAGCCCAAACAACCAAATTAAAAATAGATTATTTGAACCTCATCAAAATTAAAAACTTTTGTGCTGCAAATGCTACCATCAGGAAAGTTGCTAAAATGCACAGAATTAAAGAGAACACATTCAAATTACATATTTCATCAGGGAGTTTATTCAGAATATATTCATAAAACTCTTATAACTCAGTAAAGAAAATATAATCCAATATTCTTGAGCATTTATGCAAAAGAAATAAAAACCTATGTTCACATAACCACCTGTGCATGAATGTTCATAGCAGCTTTATAAATAGTCAAAAACTAGGAACAACTCAAGTATCTTTCAATGGGTGAATGTGAAAACTGTGATACATCTATCACATTATAGAATACTCCACAGAAATAAAAAGAAACAGATTTTTCATAGACACAACTTGAGTAAATCTCGAGGTAATTATGCTGAGTGAAAAAGCCAATTTCAAAAGATTACTTACTATATGATTCTATTTATTAATATATAAAATTCTCAAAATGATGAAACTCTAGAGATAGAGATGAGAGTTTGTTAGAGGATAGGAAAAAGGATACAGTGGGGTATGTGAATACAAAGTAATCAAGGAGTGCTTTTGTGATCATAGAACAGCTCTGTGTCTTGATTGTGGTGGTGGTTATGCAAATTTGTACATGAGATAAAATTACATAGAACTATACAACACACCTGCACACAAATGAATGCAGATTTTATCGAAGGTGAAATTGAATAAGCTTTGTTGATAGAAATACTGGTATAAATTTGCTGGTGTTGATACTGTACAACTATTTAACATGTCACCATTGGGAAGCAAGGTGAAGGGTTTGTGGCACTCTGAACTATTTTTGTAATTTACTATGAACCTATAATTATTTCAAAATGAAAAGGTGTTATAAAAAATTAACAAAATAAGTGAAACAAGTCAGTGACAGAAAGATAAGTACCACATGTTCTTGTCACATGTAAAAGCTAAAAAAAAATGAGCTCATAGAAGTGGACATTAGCAGCTGGGAAGGATAGTGGGGAGGGAAAGACAGGAAAAGGTTGATTAATGGATGCAAAGTTACACCTAGATGGGAGAAGTAAGTCCTAATGTTCTAAAGCAGTGTAGGGTAAATATAGTTTAAAACAATTTCATGTTTATTTTCAAAAAGCTAGAAGAGAGTATTTTGAATGCTCACAAAACAAAGCAATGATAAATGTACAAGGTGATAGATATGCTAATTTTCCTGATTTGATTCTTTTTCTTTTTTTAAGTTGGGGTTTCACCACGTTGGCCAGGCTGGTCCCGAACTCCTGACCAAGTGATCTGCCCACCTTGGCCTCCTAAAGTGCTAGAATCACAGGCATGAGTCACCATGCCCAGCTTGATTCTTATATATTGTATACATGTATGGAAATATCACTCTGCATCTCATAAATATGTACAATGATTATGTGTCAACTAAAAAGGAAAAAATGAACAAAGGATTTGAACAGACACTTCTCCAGATAATACATACAGATAGCAAATAAGCACCATGCAAAATGCTCAGCATCATTAGTTATCAGGAAAATGCAAATTAAGCCACAATGAGATACCCACTATACTTCTACTAGGATGGCTACAATTTTTTAAAATAACAATACCAAGTATTGACAAGAATGTGGAAGCAACTGGCTCTCACACATTGCTGGAGGTACAGCCACTTTGGAAAATAATTTTGTAATTTCCCATAAAGTTAAGCAAACACAATCTTACCATGTGACTCAGCAATCCAACTCCTAAGAATTTCAAGAAAAATAAAAACATACGTCCACACAAAGACTTACTTGCAGGTGAAAAGTTCATTGCAGCTTTGTTCCCAAAAACCAAAAACTAGAAATAGTTCAAAAATCCATTAACAGTAGAGTAAATTAACAAATTATGATGTTTCCATACAATGGAGTAACTCTACAATAAAATGGGTCAGTCTCAAAAACATTACACTGAACTAAAGAATCTAGACATTTAAAAGAATCTAGACATCTATACAAAAGACTAGCAAAAGCAAAATCAATCTACAGTGATAAAAGGAAGATTGGTGTTTGCCTCGGACCAGGGATTGTGGGAGCAGCAGATAGAATAAACACAGAGGAACTTCTTGGGTGATGAATATGTTTTATTCCTGGATTGTGCAGATGGTTACCTGGGTATTTGCAT